GATACCAATGATAAGGTAATGTACTGAAGCAGCATCGATATACATCTACAGGGGTGTAACCTACGATGGTGAACCTACTACAATGAACTGGACACGTCTGATTCGTATATTTTGCCTATAGTTATGCAAACAATGTGATGGGGACCCAAAAAAATAACCAAGGTAAGTGAGACACATACGCATGGGTGAAAAAGTTTTTGATTTACCGGATATCATCGGTGACAAAAACGAACAGGCGAGCTAATTGCTGACAACATGTCTAAAATGAACACAGATTATAACAGACTAGATTATATTACAACAGTTAGACAAAACTCAAGGTTAGTATTGGTCTGTACTCTCTAACGCTTGTAGCGTGAGCTTCTGTACAGCTCATGTCGAACATTGACGTTTCGCTCCATAAGCAAGTTGAGCCACAAGATGTTGCCAGACATAGTAGCTTTAATCAGGATAGCTTTTAACAGGTGACATAAATATACTGCAAAATTTACTATATCAGTACTGACGTCACAGATCAGTCATGACCCTGTGTTTTTCCAATGTCCATCAGATCAGTGCGTCAAATACCAAATAACTAGGCTTATTACTAGCCGTAAGAATCGCAGCTGGCCACGGCATCTTGCGACGAACGTGATCAATTTGCTACTCGTCGCTTTAGCGTCGTGCCATTGAGACAGACGGGCTTGAATGCCCGTCGCGCGGTAATGAATTGGGTTCATTGTGAGGATGTGGGTTGTCGTTGGCTATGCTCATGTCGTGAGAAGCTGGTTGGGTTGAAGAACGCAGCCAATCGGCAATTTTTTAAAGGTACTGTGCGGCTTTTCCAAGAATCTGTCATGGAGGGTGTCCATGGTAATAACGCTACAATGCCCTGCCGATGTAGGAGGTTTGCTGTTTGTGGATACCTAAATCGTAGCCTCAAAGGTAAAAGAAAGAAGTTGGAGCGACGCATGTCAAGGATTCATTCAGGGCTTCCTGCTGCTGAGCAGAACAGCGGGTGTGAGCCAAGGGACAGAGCATCGCTGGTTTAGGCCCATCACGTTGCCCGTTGCATCTCAGACTTAGGGCGCGTATCCCAGATAATTTTCCGTAGTGAGGGAGAATCCCAGAGAATATTCGGAGCAGGATCAAGACGGAGAATCTGTTTTCGCTATGCATAACTGTGACCGTTAGCTGTGGATGGCGCATGGAATAATCCGGGGGATAATTTTCGGACCGGCTGAATGTAAATGGAGAATATCCGCGGATGGTTATCGGAGAGATAATTATTCGTTGACTAATTTTCCCTTGGCCAAACGCGCCCTTAGCGTACTGACCGGTGGCCAGGCGTGAGACAAAACACTTTTCATTGCCATTGCGTTGTATATAGACCCAAATATAGGTGCTAGGTGTGTTAGTTTGCTTGCATCTGCTAATACCAATTCTGCATGGGTTCTTCTCTAATACATTGGGCTCATGTTAGGAGGTCTGAGGCCCGCACCAGCAACACCAGTGAATGTGAAGATGATGAAAGTCGCCACCTCTTCCAGCTGATGGCACGATGACGTCACGAAACCAAAAGTGATATTGTTTTCAGGTGCTTGTAGAATGATGTTATCGGTAAATGCATGATTACGGGGTGCAATTTTTCAAGATACTTATAGGTGAGCGGGGGGGGGGGCAGGAAGAAAAACCTGGACCTGCCTCGAATATGCGCTCAATCCAGTTTTCCCCCAGATTTGACGCACATCCTTTTCGGGGTTACGAACGGAGACCTCGCTTCTCAAAATTAGTTTAGAAGAGAGGATAGACCGTAAACAATGGTGACTTATGAAACATAATGCAAAGTGATATCCAAAATAGCAAACTGCATCCCTGATTACGAGGATCATTATCCAATGCTTGATGCCCAACAAATGACACTTGGGCACAAATGGACTGAAAAAAATGTGAATGGTTACGCCCCATAACTTTTGATTTATATGTGTTTTTTTGTTGTTAAACGCGTTTAGAGCTGTATCGCAGCAGTTCCTGATAGTTTTGGCTACATTTGACAATTTAGACAGTTCGAAATTTTGTCGGTGACAGGTTAGGCACTCTTTTCACCCCTGCACATGCCTAACGAATCACAACACCACGAAACAATGCAGCACTCGAATGACTAGAACTGATCTCCCACAGATCATTGAGCTGCTCTGACCGCACGTACTGCAAAGATCGGCCGGAGGAGGTTCGGCTCCTTTCTATGTATGCCGTGAGAGGTACACGAAATGCATGCGCTATGTCTAATTGACGTCGTGCACGCGCCGAAAGGCGGGTTGCTGGAGGGTGAAATCTGGACACGACGCATGGGCGCGCGAGGCGGTTTTTCATGACCGCGAGTCGCTGCGGCCCGAAGTTTGGTCGTGGCATGTACTGGAATGGCCGTTTTTGGCCCACTGGTTTTGCGCAGGCGGACCGAAAATGTGACGGACGACAAACACAACGAACAGACGTTTGAAACTGTGCCATCATCTCGGCAAACAGGGTCGGAGCGACATGAAATTGACACGTTCCGGCAAATATTCGAGCGGGGAATCGCGTGGTACCAGATGTGCAGTAGCACGTGCCATATGTCACGTGCACAGAAGCGGCCAAGATACATCCAGCCGGTTTCGACCGTTTTTCACATTTTATGCCGTATGTCGGCAGCCAGAGCGCGTGGAGCCGCGAATCGAATTTTGTGGTGTTGACGGGCGTACCGTCGTCAATTCTTGTGCCTAACACGATTTTGTGCAGCGCACGGCTGCGCCAGTAATCGTGCCTGCAGCATGCTGCCTGGCGGTACCTGCCTCCAGCAAACTGTCACAGACGGATCGAACGCGTACCTAGCGATCTCAGTCATATTTCAGTCAAAATAGTCGTGATCTATCTGATGGGTGCCGGGTCAAGTTTGATGTGTTACCGGCTTGGCTGCAGTCTCGTATGATAGGGAAATTTCGCTCACTGTGGAGTGTTTAGTTCATATCTTAATTAGAACTAATTCGATCCGTTAGAAATAACCTGACAATTTATGACGTCATTTTTTTGACCTATAGCATGGCCTTCTTTGCCTGTGTATCAGCGGACGGGGAGGGTGGCCAGTGGTCACTGCCGTATTTCCGTCGAAGCTGTTAGGGCTTCAACCTCATGCTGCCCGCGGGAACAACTGACTTGCAGATTAATCCTCCTTCGATGCTCGTGTGCCCATCACCGCACTGTAACCATCACGGCGCCTGCCCGGCTCCGGTCAGATATCCCTGACAGGGGTTCAATATTCACGGAAGGCTCACATGAAATAACGATTTGTGGAACTCATCGTCATGCATAGTCACGATTCATTAAGACAAACAGGGAAGGCGAAGTTGTTGGCCAAAGGCCAACGGATCCATACTATTAAGGTACCTATGATGAAGACAGTGCATTGAAACAACGTCGATGGGAATTCACGATGATGTGATCGCTTGATCCAGTAAGTATATGATCTATGTGTTACGATGAAATAAACACTTCGAAATCGTTTATTTTGCATTCGTTCATGAATACAACGTAACGAGGAGCAAGGAAAAAAGAACGTGAGGCTTGTACCTATTACGAGCAACGACGCCAGGAAACACCGCATTACTCAAACGGTTAGAATCTGTTGCCCACAGCTACTTCAATGCATTTAGCGAATGACGCCGCTCGCTGCATAGATCAATGAAGAATGTGCAGTTTCATTCGATGCTTGCGGTGGGCTTTACATTCAATGCACGCGCGAAAATAATGGGGTCGCCATCAGCTAGTTCCGACTGAAAGTGTGGAATACTGAAGTTTCGACATGAGTATACCCCGAAATGTTTTCAGCATGCATTGATTATTACGCTACATAAGCCGACAAAAGTAAACTGGTAAGGAATACGACACCACAGTTATGCATGCACCGCGTGCGTAGGATAAACGAAAAGGTTGAAACGCCTGGGCAATTCTTGGTTATTTGTGCTGCGATTAGTGCCGTCTACACTGTCATAGGTTATAAGTGTCAACAACAGACCAATATCAAAGCCTTTGAAGTCAAAGGGCATACCGTGTCATGACGTCACGCTCGCTTTGTTGCTCTGTTGACGGGAACTTTGACTCCCAAGCGTCTGCGTGCGGTGCCTGTCTCTCTGACTCTGTCCTTGCCCTCGCTCGCACTGTCAGAGGCTCGCAATGACGCACCCACCGGCTCAGGCGTTATCACGCAGCCGAGCCGGTGCAAGTCACGCCCGTGTCTCCGGGTCCCGAGCTGCGCACTGCAGCTGACCTCGGGCGCCAGGCCGCGACCGAGGCCAGGCGAGCGCTACACATCGGCGTCCGCCGCCGGCGCCGCCACGTCCCCCTGCCCGTCCGCGGGCGCCACGCTGAACGGCCGCATCGGCGTCTCCTCCAGGATGATGCTGGGCCGGTGCGCCAGGTTCGCTGTTTTGGTGGCGGGTCGGCCGCCGGCGCGGAACGTGCGGAACGAGCTGGTCTTTCCAGCCCGGCTGCGCGGGCCGACCTCGGGCGTGGCTGGAGCGGCGGCGTCTGGCCCTACCGACTGCCGCTGCCAGGTGCTGTCGTACCGGAATGAGGGCTTTTTGACGATGCCGCGCGAGTAGATCTCCTCGTCGGGCGTCTGTGGGGTCGGCTCCGTGGTTTCCACGTCTGCAGGTGGGGAAGAGGTATACGTTAGTGGAAGCCTCGGCGGCGCGTGTGGAAAGAGTCATTCCGTGTTATGCGAAGGCCAGAGCTGCATATAAGTGGGGATGCATTGGTTACGTCCACTAATTCTAGTCTTCCTGCACCGCTGCATGATTTAGCATCGGCTAAATGAGAAGGCATTGCACGCCGTGGAGTAGTAAACGCTGTAGCAATACTGTAACGTTCCAACGTTGATCCAACCGAACCCCAAACTGACCAACTTTGCACGACTCTGAGTTCACTGTGATGTCTTCACTCTGCTTGAGCGGTGGCCAGCTTTTTTTCTGCTTCAGCTCCTCCTCAATAACTTGAAACGATAGCTTTTTACGGCGAATCTTGCGAAAGATACCGGCCATTTTTATTCCTGGATATCCCTGTATCACGTAGACCTGAAACGGGGATAAACGAATGCAGGAATAGAGCGTTCCAAGCAAGGGTGTTGCAGTGCGGGTTAGGCATGTGGTCAACGACGAAGGGTTGGCTTGATAATAAGCCCACCGTTGCCGTGGTGCGGCCTACCTCAGTGAGTCTGTACAGTGTTGACCGGCGTAGTAAGTCAGGTATACGACCGTCCGAAGACAGCCAAATGTACAAAGCTCTTCCGCAAATTGCACGATTCTGGCAATTTTCCTGCACTCTCGCCGAACGACCTCACCCCACAGGAAACACTCGCACCGCTTGGGATGTTGGGGACCTGCGCTTGGGGTGTTGGGGTGAAAGTGTGGTCAGATCCGGGCTCAGACGCACGCATTGGCAGCGGATCCAGGCTTAACAAAATATATCTGGGGCGGATCCGAGGACAAGCTGTGGTCGGTGTCCGCCTTGCGAAAGCAGAGACCCGTAATGTTTCAGTCTCTGCTCTGGAAGTTGTCTCCAGCTCATCCCTGAGTGAGGAACACAGACCTCCCAAATGTAGGAGACCAGACCCATGGCGATGGTGAACGTCGCCACCACCAGGTAGTACTTCTTGTCAGGGGCGTACAGCATTCGAAGCCACTTGGTCCACACCGAGCCCCGGTAGAACATGACGAACCCGCTGACGACCAGCGACAGCAGGATCAGCACCATCAGCGGGCCTGGGCGCAGGTGAGGCATGCCGTCAGACGCGACTGACAGCCGCCGCTCGTGGATATTTTCCAGCGTACGCCACTGCAGTTTATTCCCCGGGCACGGAGGACACGGTATGTGCCTCCCGGGTTAAAGCATGCTTTTGCTGAAGGCTCGTTCGATGATGGCCGTTTGCATCTGATAGAATATGATAAAATGGATGAATCTTCCAACACTTTAAGTACTGTAACCTAACGCTGCCTGAAAAATTTGGCCACGTGCGACTGCAAGGAGCTAAAAGTGACCATAGCACCCTCCGAAAATAATGGAATCGAGAAAGCAAGCGACATCCACAGGCATTCTCACCTAAGTATTGAAAAGTTGACAAACGTCACGTTATCGATGACACCAAAGGTCGTTCAAAACACTTTGACTATCACCCAGTTCTCATATAACCTTAGAGCCTAATACCGTCCATAATTACGGTCATATACAGCTTGGCACTAAACGAAGCAGCGCGTTTTGATGGAACACAATTATGTCATAATATTAGCGTAGACTAAGGATAAGGGCAACACCAGGTTCAGCGTATGTGAGCCAGGGTCAGGTCCACGCGTCTGACATCGTTTTTCCGTTTTTCGGTCTGCACGACGCATGCTCATTTGTTTCCATATGTGCCAGCTCCATCAACTCAGTTGTCACAAAATGAGCGGCATTGTCTTTTTGGTTCGGCAATTAAAGCCTGGAAACACATTACCTTTTCGGAAGCTGGTGCGACCTTGTGTTATGTTACTGACCCTAATTCACACAGCCAAATCAGTCAATGACTTCGATCAAGGCAACGCAAAACAACATAGAACAATGAGAATCGATGCTTGACGAAACTAATGACTGGAAAATGTAAGAACTAAGAGCGAAACGGGTCTTAAAGGGGAGTGTTCCACATTTGTACGGGGGTTTGAACTGAAATTAGACAACAAATTCCTCTAGTTTCTCCGACACACGCCTGCGAAGATGTGCAGACCACTTCGGGTAGAGTCAGCCAAGCATGCATGACGCCATAATAATGTCATTCAAGTCTTGCCATGCCATTAGTCATGCGGCGATCAAGTCCGAGAAAAATATAATTGTCGTGTCGTCTACATCTGGCGTTGAGCACCAGTATTAGATATAACGGCCGTCAGTTGGCATCAGTGTTGTGCAAGGTACGATGACGCAGTCAAACAATGATGCATTGAAGAGCATATGTACTAAGTGGATAAAATATGGTGTCTTATAGTAGTCTTTTCCACCTAAAAGCATACCAATAGCGATCACTGAGCTTGTTTCATCGCATCTGATCCTTGCTTCAGGTGTGATGTCAGAGGCCGTTGCCAACAACAGAACGCATGCCGATGCTGCGCTGCCAGCAGCCAATCAGGCGTCGTGTTATGACGGCACTGGAACTGTGGCATTGCTGTCCTGGCAGTCAGCACCCACCCACGCGTGGTAACCGCCGGCTGATGATCTAAGATTCCACTGGACGCAGCGTTTTTCCCATAACAATCGCTTGCAGAATTGTTGGGCTATAAGTGTTAACGCAGCATGTGCTTCTTGTAATATCTCTCTGTGTCTTGGTTGTTCATTTTATCCCCTCAAACTGATTTTTTAGGGGTCAATGACGAAATCATAATTAAGAGGCATAATCTTGAAATGTTAGAGCGAAATGTACTTATATGCCGAATAGGCAACTTGAAAGTTTCACATAGGGTAAAAAGGGTAATGCTATATGTTCATGATCTCCACCTATTTTATTTAACGTACCCATACAAAAAAAAAAACAGAGCACTAAATTGTTCAGCGTGTTCATGAACTTCATCAGCTGCGTGATCCTCGCTTCTTTGCGGGAGAGACAGAGCAAAAGCGCCTGCCCCGGGTGGGAGGCGGCACGAGAGCCGACACTCCGGCCGAGCCGGTCCGCAGCGGGGCCGGCAGCTCACGGTTGGTGTAGACTGGCTTCCGGTACGGCGCCCCCGGCGAGAACGTCAGCCAGGACGAGATGTACACGAGGGTCATGGCGGCAAACAGCGCCGACGCCTCGTAAGTCGGCAGCATGTTGTCCATCGCGAAGAAGGTGTTGATGGACTTGGTCATCACCGATGCCGGCACGAACCTGGACGACAGGTCGCACGGTCAGCTGCACAGACGCGGGCGGCCGGGGAGGGGTGGCCTGTCCCAAGTTCCACCGGCTGTGTTGAAAAAGCGGGCGCCTGAAGCACTGTGAGACATGCATTTGATATTGCCCGATGGTTCAGGGTCTCAATGCAAATATTCTATAACGAGGCCTGGTGTACCACACGGGATCGTAGATTCGCAAAATAAGTTAGGGGAGGGGGCGAGGCGAAAGGCTGAACAGTTTAAAATTACGAAATTTGCTTCTAGAACACGCCAAGAAACGGGTTTGTCCCGGTATTTTGTCCACGTCCTTCTCGAATTTAGGGGCTGGAGTCTATGTTGGGTTCACACCGACCACAGCTAACCGTCCCCCTTCCCGCCCGCACTGACCAGGGCTGCGCGGCCGTGTAGTAGAAGACCGCCAGCAGCGTCACGAACTGGACGAGCACGAAGCCGAGCGAGGAGACCACCTGGACGGGCTCGGTGAGATGAGGCGGCGGACGGCGGCGCGTCAGGCGCGTGCGCGCCGCCGTCATGGTCAGCACGAACGGCGCCGGCAGTCCAAACACCACCACCATAATGATGTACTGCGGCGAGAGAGGCTCGCAGGCGTGCTGCCGGCGGAAGCGGACTGTCACGGTTGGTGGCGACGACCGCGGGCAGCAGACAGGCGCAGGACGCCCGGACGCGGCGATGGGGAAGCGGTCGGAGCCCAGATCATCTGCTGTGGTAAATGGTTGGATGGAGTGAAGCAAGGCAGATCGCGTTGATGTACGGAAGTTGTGTGGATTGTAGCTGGGATCTGGTTAAGTTTCAGTCTCTAGTCTAGGTGCTCCCAACTGCGAGCTGAAGAGAAAAAGGAAGGGGGGCTTTGCCAAAGAAATTGCGATGGCCTTAGGGGGATTTCGATGTGGCCCAATCATGTCGAAATTGGAAGAGATAACCGTCCAGGCAACACCAACGGGGCAGGTGTCATCCGAAGGGGGTGATGCTGCCACACGCGCTGCAATGTATCGCATGATCTGAGCCCACATTATCTGCTGTGGTAGCCAACAACAGTTATTTCACTGATTGTTTCACAGAGGCAGTGGTTCCACACGCATGAATTTTTCAGACTCGAGCGGTATACTGGGAGCTCAATGGTGTGATTTGAATTGCGTTGTCCAAACATGATTGCGAGGTTAAGCACTTGTCCCACTGTATCAGTCACTTGTTTGATTCTTCTCCCAATGAAAGCAAGCTTACATGTGTGCTATGTTACTAGGTCAAAACTCTGTGCTACGCCTTAGTTTTGATATTGCCCGATTGATACCTACTCAACCTAAGACCAGGAGACATTGGATTAACAACACCTTGCTCGCATCACGTTGTTATACCAAAGCGAAACCACGCAAGCCAACATTAGTATCAGAGCGACTTAACAACAAAATTCTGCGATTAAAATAACTGGAGACATGGCGATGGGTTTTGGCAAAGACGCCGCTTCAAAATAAAAAGCCCAATCCTGAAGAAAAAGTGCCAGAAAATAGCCTCACAAGTCGCGATGCCATTGAGCGCTAACCAGCCGACGAAAACGGAGCAGTTTCGATCGGTTTTCGCAGTCTGCGTTATTATATATCCACCGAAGAACAGGCTGCGCATCTCAGCAGCCGAAATGTCCAAATGCAAGACACCAATCGTAAGTCAAAGATACGGACGTGTCCCATCCCTTGAAGGACTCCAAGTGGATCTTCGGCCGGGGCGGCTCTCAGGCGGACGCAACAGCATGCAGTCGAGACGGTCGACGAGGGTATGACCTCCGCCGCCACGGGCGCCTACGCGCTCCGGGGGTGGGGGAACGGGGAGGGCATCAGACCCAGCTTGGGAAGGCTGCGACCGTGCGGCGCCGTGGCTGTCAGCCAATGCGATCCTCTCACAGCATGGTAAGCTCCGGTGCGAATGCGCCGTGGCTGTCAGCCAATGCGATCCTCTCACAGCATGGTAAGCTCCGGTGCGAATGCGCCGTGGCTGTCAGCCAATGCGATCCTCTCACAGCATGGTAAGCTCCGGTGCGAATGCGACGACGGTGTCGACGCATTGTTGAAGACGACGGCCATTTTCCCGCGTGCGAAACATGGCAGTCAATGATACGACTTGTTCGTCCCACCGCAGAATGGTGAGTTAACAGAATGCATGGTAGATTCACGTGTGGCAAGGTGATTCACGGTTATTAGGCTAATCCTGTGGACTCGCCATAAAAAGTACGTAATCGTCTGATTCATCCTTGTCTTCCTATAGGCGGAACTACTATCACCTGATGCATCAGGGCATGATCTACTTTGATCCAAGGGCACGCCGCAGGCATGTCCTTGATCTTTATATGGTCACACATGTCCTCGCCAGGAAAAAGCCGTCTGCGGGGTTTATTCAGCTCCCCGCTTGTTCGATCCGCATCACCGTAACTCCACAAACATCCCATCACGTGACCTCCGGCCTTGCGAATCCCAATGTCAGCATTCGCCGCATCAGTTGGCCCAACACCGCCGCTGAACGCAGCCGAGTACCACCTCGCACCGGGTGCTGGCACTGACTAGCGCGAACCTCGGATGTCCACAGCACGTCCCGACGGCCTACCCCTCCCCCCCCCCCCACGCTGTCCGCCGAGCGAGGTCCCCCTAAGCCATTAGGCTCGAAGTATCGCGTGGCCACGCAGCGGGCCATTCACTCGATCCACTAACGGAGGGAAATGGACTCAAAGAAGTCGCGAAACCCTCCTCTACTCCTTGGACAGATATCAGTGCCAACCAATGCCCCTCTCAGATCCTTGATAGGTAACATTAAACACTTAACATGTATTCAATAAAGGCGCACCCACGTGTTGGTTGTTCTGCTCTTAATCGTGCAAGAAAACAAAACCAAACCCGCAGTACACCGAGATACACACACACGCACAGGTGAAAGCAGCTCCAATCAATGAGTTGGCGATTTGAAACAATCAAGGATGCCCAGTGCGAGGGGCGCGAACGGCTGCCGCAGCCAGCCGGTTTCACGCGGCGGAGGTGCGGTACGCAAAATGCCGCCGGGTGGCGCTCAGTCGGACGCGCGACAGATGTGGTGAGCAGACACCGCTCGAAGCAGCCCAAGTTCGGCGTTGGGAAGACTTGGCGCGCGTCACGAGTAGAGCAGGCAGTGCACTGGGGATTCGGGGACGTGCAGTGCCCTATATACAATCAGGCAAACCCAGTGGCGCACATGATCTGTAACGCTGCGCCGGCCGAGTGCTTCCAGAACGGATGGAACGTGATCGCTACGGCGGACACCGCTCACTAGCCTGGCTGCGAGATGCATCACTCTTAGCATCTTGTCTAGGTGACGCATGACCGCTGCACCACATATTGACAAACAGCAGAGGATGCAGGGAATACGCGAATTCTGACAGGGAGCTTCAGAACATCAGGAGCGAAGTGGTATCGAATTTTGAGCAGGGCTGCGAAGATTGCGCGTCGAACGAGTGAGATGTAGGGTTCACAGTTGAGATGGTGGTCGAGGAATACATCTGATACCTTAACTGAAGAAAATGGATGAATGCATGTGCCAGAGAGGGCAGTTTGGAAGTCGGCGGTCTCTGTAACGGAGGGTTTGGTGCCCATCAGCATGAAGTCTATCTTCTTGGGGTTTCTTTTAAGGATGTTTGACTGAAACCAGTTTTGAAGACACTGCATGGTTTACTCGACACGAGGTTTTAGTTTGGACGGGCCGACGACGTCGGGGGTGGCGGAGCCAAGGAGTTGGGTGTCATCAGCGTATGATAGTAGGCAACTGTGGGGATGGAAGCTGGATAGTTCGTTGATGAAGATGAGGAACAGGATTGGGCCGACAAGGGATCCCTAGGCCACTCCGCGGGATCGGGATAGGGTAACCGAGCTACCATTAACCACCTGCTTCCGACCGCTCAGGCAGTCCCGGAACCATTCCGGAGACACCCCGCACCATTCCAGCTTGCTCAGGAGGACGTCGTGATCAACGATGTCGAAGGCCTTGCTAAGGTCAATCGTCGTTATCGACGCGACATGGCTGTTGTCGACAGCCGTTGCCAGCCATTACGTTCGACGAGTAATGTAAGGCGAAGCCTGCATACTGACCTCCATCGCGTGTGTGCGTATTTTTTCTATTCGCAACAGTGCTATTGCATTTCCCGTTTCAATTCCTATTCTGCATAGCAACTGGGACACTGTAAGCCAGACAGCTAGCGACGGGTCAGCTGGCCGGACTAGGCATCTGCGCGCTCAGGCCGCACCGGAAGAGCAGCTGTGACCACTGTTGAAAACAAGTCATTAAGGGACGAGACGTCTGGGCGGAATGCGGCACGTAGCTCGGTGAGACTGCGTTTCACGCCCAAGTGCCAAAACATGTCCGGGACAGGATCATTACTGACAAGAACCCCTGAGAAAACCTGGGAGCGGGGCATGAAGCGGAACAGCGTCCCACGCAGGCCAGGCTCACCTCGCACCGCGGCCGGAGGAAGGCGAGAAAACCCCCAAGAAGGCCCATGCAGACCAGAGAAGCGGACCAGGGCGCAGCAAGATAACCAGCCCCGTGGGCAGGTTCGGAGCCCAGGCCCGAGCCAGTCATTACGGAGTGAACCGCCATGAAGGGTCAGGCATCCCCCAGGGCGTGCCAAACGCTCGCTATCCGAGGGTGTGTGCCTGTACCGGAGCAAGGAATAGCGCCTGCAAAACGGAACTGCACATGAGCACGAATGGGAACGAACGAAGCCCATGACCGGAACCTGCGGGGCGCGACTTGTGGAACAAAACTCGGGGAAGCGTCGCGTTCAAGAGGACAAATACTCATCCAAGGGAAGGGGCGACTCTCATTGGAAGGGAGAGGCGGCACTCTGACTCGGGGGCCTCAGTGGACGGAAGCACTCTGACTCAGGGTCTCAGTGGACAGAGGCACTCTGACCCAGGGTCTCAGTGGACGGACTCAGCGCTGTGAACTCGACCGCCACAGACACCAACACGTGAGTGCCCCCCCCTGCTACTTTAGTCAGACGCGAACTGAACTACATAACTGAAGAGTGTAAGGTTGGTGGAAAAATAAACGTACCTTGCCACTCATGTACATGTAGCCGGTCAGTAATTTCGGCAGTAGCACGAATCATTACGGAAAATTGGAGCTATGACTGATGGACGTTCTGATCGGACACGTAGTTGTTTACATGCGATGCGCACCTTTTATGTTTTTGTAAATTTGATGAATACATAGCTTGTGGCTGTTTATTGTGGTTTAAGGGTAGCTCATTCCCTATCACTGGTCATTTAATTTAGTACTAGCACAAGTCTTACGAAAATTAGATAGGTAGTCCCGGAACCATTCCGGAGACACCCCGCACCATTCCAGCTTGCTCAGGAGGACACCGCGATCAACGCTGTCAAAGGCCTTGCTAAGGCCAATCGTCGTTATCGACACGACATGGCCGTCGTCGACAGCCATTGCCAGCCATTACATTCGACGGGCAATGTAAGGCGAAGCTTGCATATTGACTTCAACCGAGTGTGCGTACATTTTTCTATTAGCAACAGTCCTATTGCATTTCCCGTTTCAATTCCTACTCTGCATAGCAACTGGGACA